TTTTTTTTAACAAAAAAAACTTATTTAATATGTGTGATCTTTGAGCTGCAAAGTCGGGTTGAGCTGAAAGAATACACAAAGCACAACAGTTTGGGTTGTTTGGATTAGGCTTATTTTTTTTACATGTATCACACTTTTTGATAAGGCCTGGTATCCACAAACCTCTTTCTTCAAGAACCTGTTTAATTTCCTTAGGCCTTTTTACATTAGCATTGTCTATATAAGTCATTATATGCTTGGAACCATCAGGCATTGTATCATCACAAAGAAGTGGTTTTTTTGTACCATCTTTCATACCCATTTGTGAGACCAAAAGAGCATCTTCAGCAAATAAACTATAATTGCTACTATTATCAAACATAAATAGAGCTATCTTGTTGGGGTGTGTTCATTCAAATATTGGTATAGCACATTCAACTACCTGATTAACTAAATCATCGCATGTTCATCAACCATCATGATTTATGCTTGGATAGATGGCAATAACTGCTTTGGTATATTTGAGATGCATAGGATCAGGAAGTAAGTTATTTATACCAATTTCATAGTCTGAAAGTTTGAGACGCCCAATAGATTTACAGACAAAATCACAATATGAATACTAGAGCCCTGTGATCAAAGATAGAAATCAAAAATTAGTCAAAAAAATGTTTTTAGCCAACTTACTAAAATATTAGGAATAATAATATATATAAGATATTGGTCATGCAATGATTAATATCATGAAATTTGTTTTGTCAGAGCAAATGATTGGCTAATATATGCTGTGTAGCGATATATTTTATCCAATCATTTGCTCTGACAGAACAAATTTTGTGATATTTATCATCACATGATCCAATATATTATCATGCAATTATGATCATGATTTACAAGTCATGGTTAGCTAACTAAGTTTTAATTCAGGATTGTTGTGCTTATAAAATAATGTACAAAAAATTACAAGAAAAAAAAAATCTATGATCATAAGAGTTTGCACGATAACCTGGTCTATTGGGATTAGTAGAAACGAAGATTCTGCTTATTCATGTATAGTTTAGGATATTATTCATTAATCCCAGTGATATTGGTATAGTGATCAGGAATTATAGCTGATTGATACGTAATATTTTAATTAATAATTAAAAATTTTAGTTAGCTGATTAGCTGACTAAAAATGTTAGTTAATTCTGATTTTTATTAATGATTTTCTCTGTAGGCCATATTCACCTTTTGGGCTTCAATATTGTTTCACACCATTATTTGCATAAAGAGTGGTTTCATCTTGGGTGATAGAAACAATTTTAGCCTCACCAGGAAGAAGATTTGGCGAGATACAGTTTAATTTTTCACCTTCATATCTGGCTATTCGTTTTCGTAACCTAGCTATTTCCTGCAAAAAATTATTTCTGTACTCTACTATATCTTCACATTCGTGGCTATCAAAATAAATCTTTTTTGTATAGGTTTGGTATCTCCATCCAAGCAATTTTAGCCATCTATATGCAGTTGACCTGCTAATAGTTTTACTTATAACTCCAAAAGCAGGCATAATATGACTAACATAACTTATAAAATTTGGAATAGATAATTTAAATTTATTTTTCTCCAAATACTGATTTATTTGACATCGAAAACTTTTATTATGAATTAACAATTTGGTTTTTACATATTTATCATATTTTGACTTCATTAATTCTTTGTTATTCTTCAATTGATTTGCCCAGATACAAATATGCCGAGCATGGCATGGGCTTTTACCCAAACTCTTAGCCAGAAGTTCACTTGCCTTCATCTTTATATACCCTTCATTCACAAGACGAAGAAATTGTCTTGTTGTATTGAGATTTATATCGACAGTTTTTGTTTTCAATTGTGTATCTAGTGATGATAATATAGAATTATCATCATTAATACTACTATCAAGGGTCTTATGCGATGAAGAAGCAAGTTTTGATACTGTAGGCCAATTTTTGTTGATGGGATTAGTACCATAGGTTCGTAACTTTTGTTGGAAGCAGTATTGGTTGATTTAACTAATGATTTATTTTTCTATTTCATAGTAGCAGCTTGTCGAGCTTGTCTTATGCGTTTATTTGGCTTTGGCATTTTTTTATTATTTTATTTTTGGTATTTAATTTACAAGTTTGTTGAGGTATGTATATGTGTCGAAAAAGTTAAAAAAAATATAATCTGATCAAGTCTTCTTATGTACATGCGTATTTATAATTAATATGTATCATTAGAAAATCAATCAATTTTGATTTATGTTGATTATATGTATATTTGTCAGTTATATATTCAAACAAAACCTACCCAAAAGCTAGTTTCAGATGCATACTACCATATCTTTGTATAATAATATCCACCTGCATATTATTTTGAGTATTTCAAGTACGCGCATATGTGATATTTTGAGTTAAAGGCTTATCGTTCGATATAAAAAAATATTTACAATTGGCTTATATACACTGATCCAAACATGTGTGTTATTTAAAGATGAGTATGAGCATCATTTCAAAGCCATGCATGTTATTTCAAGTTATATGATTTTTGAAATAATGCTTATTGGCATTATTATACAGAAATACAATATACTATTGAGGCAGGATGAACTATGATGGGCTTAAAGAAAATATCAATAGACATTGTTCATTATGCTAGTGGATTGGCCAACTATAATGAGTTATAGTCCAGTACTGACTTCAATGAAGTTTACAAATAGGGCCAATAGAGCTCTGAATAGAACCAATGGATATCATTCATTAGTGCTCCATTTGCAGATTCCATTGAAGCAATTAAAATTTTAATTATGCAGAAAAAATTTAATTATGCAAAAAGATTTACATATCAGGCTAAATTACTGTAAAAGTTCATATATAAGATCCGGGTCTGTTTCATTCCACCAATTTTTAAACTCTTTAGTAGAACCAAAGTCTACGTAATACTCGCTCAGAGGTTATATCATTAAAAGAAAAAATTCAAAATACATGCACACTTTATATTTTTAATAGGCATTCTACTATTTAAAAAAAACTGTATTTAATTAATAAAGATTCTGTGGTTCGACGGGTCTAGCTCATGGTAGGTCTACTATTTTGGAGAATCTTGTATATGAACTTTTATAGTATATATAAATCAAAGAAGTGATATATATATATTTTTTTTATGTAAACAAAAAAAAAAAAATGAACATTTAACATATGTAATATATCAATTAATTATTTTTTTATTTAATTTTTCATTATTAAATAATTTTAAAATAAAATAATCTTAGATTTGAAGAAAAAAATATTAATGAATGCACTTCACAAGAATATCTCGCTGACTTCTTGGAATCTTGAAGACAATGAACTTGAATTGGATAATAGAAAAGCTTTGCAAGAACATCTCACTAACTCCCTTGGATCTTGATGAAAATGAACTCTGATCAGAAGGTAAAACATACATAATAGCAGAGACACTTTTCAGAACAATACTCTGAAAGCTTGAATCTTCAGAATATTAAACTTGGGCTAGAAAGAGTAAAAGTATTAGCAAAGGCATTCTGCAAAAATATCTCAATAAACTTGGATCAGACAATTAAAGAAGAGATGATACCAAATTGGACGAGATACCGGATAAGTATTATTGTATTTTTTATTTTATTTTTTTTTTTGTACTAACACGCTTGTGTTTCTGATATTAAGCATTTAAGCTGTGTTTGAATCTGGCGAAGGTGTGATTCTCGATAATGTAATCCTGGATTTGGCTAAGACAAAGGTATAGATACAGTCAAGAAGGAAAAAGGCGTTCGAGTAGTATTTGAAAGTGGTAATTCTCAAAAACAAGTTTTGTAAAAAATGTGTAGATAAAGAAAAACAGACATTTGAAATCTGCTAATGTGGTAGCAATTCAGGGTGCTCTCGAGTATCTAAATCAATAGGTCTGAGTTCAATTTTTAATTAGTAGAAAATAAATTATTTGGTCAAGCGAGTTCATTATCGTGATAAAAAAAAAGATAGTCAGAGACCATCTTTTTTTATTATAAAGTTGTGCTGATTGGCTAAAATTTAATATCTACATTTCACAACATAAACTTTTACAAAATTACTATAAGGTTTATTTCAATTGATTGTAGTACTTGTGTATGATCTCTATAGTTAGCTAATTACATTAAAAAAGATGCTTAAGAGTACCCTCAAGTGGTAATGCAATCTTGACTCTGCTTTGTTTATCGAAATAGTAACTCACTTAGTTAATTTATTCAATTTCAACTAATTAAAATTGACTTCGTATCCATTAAGTGAGGTGCTTGAGAACACCCTTTTCTTCAAAAATTTACAATTGATAAAGGTCTTCAAGCATTACTTGCATATCAAACATAATCAACAATTAATTTTCACCAAATTTCTATGCAACTGGTCTAAAAAGATTTTTAATATTTGAAGCTTTAAAACAAATAATTGATATATTAATATAAGCATAATAAATCTTTTAAACTATAATGAATACTGTTATTCTATTTTTCACTCATTTAAATTTAAAATCTTCTCAGTAAAGAAGACCTAAAACTGAAAGGTTTGGGTAGATTTTTTTTATATTTGACAGATAGTAAAAAAAATCAAATCATTAAAAGGAGGAGCCGACATAACTAAAGTTGAAACTTTAATGGTTTAGATAGTATAGCGAACATTATGAAAAACAGAAAAAGTATGCTCAAGCATTTAATTCTATAAATATTGTCATCAATTGTGATACTTGAGCATCATAACAATTATTATCTGATCAATTGATTTAAATGCTTGAGAACAACCTTAGATTGCTCTCAAGCATCTCAATCAATGAGTCAAAAAATATCCGGGAATAAATTTTACTTAGCGAAAAATATTTAAAATTAATTAAGCATGTTTATTATTACGATAAATAATGTGTAAATTAATAAAGTTTATTATGCAAACTATTTTTTATTTGTAAAAAATATTAAATAAATTTTTCATTTCAATCAACAACCTTTTTACAACAAACCATCTTTTTTTTATACCTGCCTTTGAAAATTTTACGATCAATAGAGTATTTAAAGAGATCGCTCAAGCAACTTTGCTATGGATCATCATTTTTGACAGCAACAGATTATTATTTTACTTTTCACATTAAAAGTTTTTATGGAAAATAAAAAAAATCGAGAATCTCAAGAAACAATATTAGTTACTTACCATCTTTTAGCTTTCGCTCAAATAGCAACAAATTCAACTATTCCAAGACTGCA